GGACTTCAGAATTCTTTGTTAAAATGAATCCTAAAAGACAACAGTGTTAGAATAAAGAAAAGAAACTGGGAAAAAAATAAGATATCTTCAAGTTCGCAAACTGTTTTAAAATTGAAAAAAACAATTCCACTTCGGAATGAATGGCAAAAAAAAATGCACTAAGTTAAAAAAAAATCCCGAATGAAGAGCACAATAAAAAAACTTCTTGACATGAGCACTGCAAAATGAAAAGTCACAGTTCAGTAGAATTGAATAGAGGGAGTCACATGCATCAGGAGGGTATGTCGCACTCCTATTGGTAGAGCGTTGTTGCATGATGATTTACATGTGAGATGAAATTAAACCAAGTTGAACATACGATACGTGGGAGCTCAAGTCTTGTGGCATGCAAAAAAGTTTTGGGCATATAGACGGCAGGACTGAATGAGAACAGCTATTTGTGTAAGCAGAGTGAATGTACCATATTGGAAATTGTAATAACTGAATATACTTTTTCAAGTACTTCAAACTTGTAACATTACAAACGTGGTCTTTCAAAGGTAGAATAAGCATTAAATGTTAAAACTCATTATAAAAATGTACTGAACATAATGTTTATTCTAATACTAATACTGAAAACTAGTTTTACATATCTGTAAAATTCTTGGAGAAAAAGAAGTTTTAACAACAACAAAAATTTATTAAAATTACTTAAAAAGCCTGCTTTCCAAACTCATACAAGATAGGACATTTTGTAAAAGGCATGATAGCAGATTAATTATTTGTTACATTTTCCTTACATGTAACTGTATTGTTCAGAATATTTATACATGTAGTTTTTAGTCTTATGATACCTGCATCTTGGAAACCTTTAAGTCTAAAAATCGTGTTTACATCTTTAGTAACATTAAATCTGTTATAATATTACAGTATATACATAAAGTGATACAAACAAAAGTACACATAACACTGACATAGCATAACGTGTAAAAAATACATAAATAACACTTGACCAATCAATGAAGATACACAAAACCAAATACCACAAATAACCACATCATTCCTTAAGAACCATTTGCCCATACAATCACTAAAGCCATATTACTAATTAGTTATTAGATGGTTAGGTGCATATTTGGAAAAAGATAAGATAAAATGAACTGAAGAAACTTGTAACTTCAAATATCATGGAAACACTTTTAACGTGTATTTACATTTAAGCAATGCAAATCCAAGTAATTTCTGCAAACACAAGTAAGAAAAGTAGTGGGAGTAAAGGTGAAGCACCAAGTTCTTCCAGCAATGTTTGAAACTCAGTTGCCACTCACCAGGTGCAACTTGCACTGGAAAAAGCTGACAGATTCAGTAAGTTATTTTCTTGCAATAGATATGCAACCATTTGATACAGTTAAATGATCCTGGCTTCTACTGTATGACTTCTATTGTCACGCTATTCACCTCCAGATTGCAAGACCATAGTTTGTTATTATATGCAGGAATTGTACCAACGGGAGAATTCTAGAGTCTAACAGCAGTCTGATGGAATAGAATGTTATGCTATAGATATATGGACATCACAAACAAAACAATCATATTGTGCTATTACAGTTCATTTCATTGCACAACAGTTCAAGCTACAAATTTATCTTACAGCAGCCCATCAGTTTCCTGAAAGTCACACAATATGATAGCTTAGTGGAAGTTACCATTTTATGGGATAATTGCTGCTTATGGGATAATGGGGTAAACATCCCTGTTGCAACTGAGATGCTTTAAAGTCCTCATTTGCCATGTTTCAGTCATACACTGCAGGTTGTCACTGATCAGGCTTTAAAGTTGCCAGAGCTGTCAAAAATGATCAGCAGGTACAAAAAAACTTGTAGCTCACTTTAATTGCTTTCCAAAATCATAGTACTTGTTGCATGAAAAGCAAATTGCTCTCAACCACAAACAGCTTTCACTTGTTAATGATGTTGTAACACAACAGTTACTATATGGCTGAAAGAATAATCCAGCAGCAGTAACCATTGTGTGCCACATTATTGGAACTCAAGAAAAGTGATTTAATGCCTTCTGACATATCATTCTCCAATATGGAACTGTTTGTACAAGTAATGAAGCCACTTGTTGAGATCACTGAGGCTTTAGGAGCTCAGAAATATGTTAGTATATATCTATGATATAAGCATTGTTACACAAGCTACTTAATAATATTTTGAAAAACTGTGATTCTGACTGTGGGATTGTTAAAATGATGAAACTAAAAATGAAAGAGAATTTTATGAATACTACACTGGACCTATTGTTAATCTACTAAACAAAGCTGCTTTTCTTGACCCACATTTCAAGTCACTTACCTTTCTTACTGATTCAGTGAAGCAGCAAGTTTTAAACCAACTTGCAAACAAAGCTGTGGCTCGTTGTGTACAGTTTGATGAAACTTCTTCAACTAAAAACATGTTTCGTGGTGAACAGAAACTACTTCACATATTGGAGAACATTGTTCAACCAACTGCTGAACAAGATGGTGAGATAGCAAAGTATACTGCTGATGACTGAGTCATGAGACAAGTGTAGTCCTTTAGAATGGTGGGCAAGATCCAGCAATAGATATCCTCATCTGGCACAATTAGCCATGAAATACCATGCTGTTTATGCAACCTCTGTTTCTTCAGAACAAGCATTTAGCACTGCAGGACATATTGTGAACACTAGGTGGTCATGTCTGTGGTCAGAGAATGTGAACATGTTAGTCTATCTAGCATCAACTTACAGTATACAAAGCCATGCTTTTTGTGAAGAATTTAAATTTTTGGTAGACCCATGAAGCTGCATGATTATAGTGTTACTAATGTATATTGTACAATCATGAATAGCCAATGTTAAACTATCATGATTATAAAAATCTTACTCTCACTCAGGTCTAATACCTATTTTTAACACTGTTCTTTGAACATCACAATGAACATTTTCAATCACCAAAAATTCAAATTACATACTTTACTGCTTCCAAGATAACAATAAAAAACAATGCAAGTTTATCAAAAATAAGATAGACTTGTTAACTATACTTTTGCTAATTTTTGACAGAATGTAATTACAAAATACCTCATATTAACATTCTTAACATCTTATTCATTTTGATTCAAGATAAATTACATCAAAATTAAATTATAGCAATTTTAAATTTCCTGCATTTACTTTTATTAAAGTCCCTCGAAGATGGGCAATACAAATCTGTAGTTTGTGTTTCCATGACGACAATGTTTCAGAAATACAGAAAAACCAAGTGATATGACTTATCAGTCAAGAATGTTTGCATTTTGGTGTGCAAGTCAGCAACAATAAAAAACTTTTTAATTTAAAAGTTGCATATATACTGAGTAGCAACAGTAACCTTGTTAGATAAATACGAGAAAAGACAAGAAAAAAAAAAAAAGAACTGGAGGACCACAGACCTCCTGCAAAGTCCAGGGCAGAAGACCATAGGGATGAGAAACAAGGAGAGCAAAGCTCTCTGAAATTCCTGCATTTTCAACTAGTTAAATAAAAATTCATGGATTGAAATAGCAGTAGCTATCAAAAAGTTAAACTTTTTTTTTAGCCAGGATAATCAAATTCTTTTTTTACACCTTGTGAATTCCTTTGACTCCAATCTCATCAATTTTTGTGAACTTTCACCATAACATTTTATCAAGTTATAACCTCAAAACCTTTTTTCCTACTGTTATTGAAACATGAATGCAACCATCTGTTAGATTTTGAAAAATGTCAGCAGTCGGATATTGTCAAATTTCATTATACTTGTACAATCATAAATAAGATTGGAAGAACCATGCAATCTAGATTTGTCCTACATGTTCTACTTATTAATCTACCCCACCCCCGGTAGACTTTTCTCATCAATTTAACACAAAGTTTTTGTTTCTTTTTTTATCAACTCTGTTCTTTCTTGCCCAATTTTTCTTTTTTGTCCATCTTCAACTATATCTTCCAATTTTTTTTCCCCTTGAAGTAAGCATGATATTTATGTTTTTATATCCTACATGACATGATTAGTTTCTTGATTATGCAAGCATCCAATTGATATTATAAAGTCTATCATAATCCCTTTTAGCACCAATGATTTGGCAGAAGAATTGTGATGCATTTTTTATTTATTCAGAAACCTCTCTCCACTGATGCCTGTCTACATGATACGCAAAGAAGTTTTGCTACCTTCCCCAGTCTATGTAACTCTTGATTGGATGACACATGATGAGGTATGAATGTGTCCACTCTCACAGAATCTGAAGTGAAAAGTTTGAAGCAAACTTCAACAACTTTGACTACAGTAGTTAGGAATTATTGATATTGCCAGATGATTTGGTCACATTCAGTACTTTTCACCAACTTCTACCAGTATTTTTAGAATTTTTTTCAAATGGCCAACAGCATCATTTGGCTTATTTGACATAAATTTAGAATCAAGGCAATCAAAATTCCTTGTAATGCTGTACCTCAGTGAGCACTTCTCTTGTAGTTTGGATATTGCCTTCACCAACATATCCCTGGCCTCCATTGGGAAACTTGTACAATGTTGAACATCTAAAGATAAAGTTTTTTAATTGTGTACTCATGTATAATATATAGGTCATAGGACCCTGTTTCAAAGAACTTGCACTTCAAGTCTTTTTCCATTTGTTCCTTGAACATCCTGTACAGCTTCCAACTCACCACTGATCCATCCATTAAGAGATGTATAATTTTCTCAAAAGATAGCATTCATGTGCCTGATTGAAGTAAGGACCTTTGAGGCAGTAACATGACCAATAAATTGAGATATCCAATACTCTGTTAAGAGAGACATCTGATCCCCAAATCGTATTTAAATACCTAACTGTTTGTTTTGATATTTCTTGTTCAAGCTTTCATTAAAAAGTAAGACACTCTTCACCTACATGGGAAAATATACTTGTATTAAGGTGACCCAGATGCATAAAATTTACAGATATATATATATACATTTCTTGCACTAAAAGCTGTCCAACAATTAAAGAAAAGAAATTATATTTCTAATTCAAAATGTGCATAGGCCCAGAATCATTACTATACAACACTTGTACACTTTTATATAGAATTCAGATTTAGTCTCAATTCTAGAATTGTTATTACCACCATAAAAACTAATATCCAGGTCTAGATGTAGATCTAGGCCTACTACTTTTATTTTATAAAAAGAAGCAGAAATAAAAATAGCCATAATACTTTGCTGTCCAGAAGCATTGAGGAAAACATGGTAGAAACTTGTTCATGGGATTTGTAGGAATTGACAGTTGTATACACTATACAATGTCCATCCAATTTTTGCTTTCACAGTTTAACTTTCAAAATCTTTTAAAATGATGAAGTTATCCATAGGTCTTGGCTTTGTACAGGTACCCAGACTATCTTTAGGCCTACAACTTAAGAACTGCACATTCTAAGATTGTTTTGGTTATTTGATGCAACTTCTCAGCATACATTTGCCCATTTTGCTTATATTCAATGTTATTTTATTAGCTTTGCAAATTTTCTTGTGCTTCTCAGGGTCATAGCACTGAACCCACTCACTGTATTGTTAAAGACACACTTCCCCATTACTCCAGTGCATCAAGTCTTGACCTAAAAAATATGAGAAAGTTCTATTCATGTTTACTGACCCATACAAAGTTCAAACAGTTATCATGCATTTAGCACCATTTTTTAAAAACAGAAATTTGTCAAGTCGTGTGGTCTTCAAAGTTGAATGTAGACCACCAGTTTAGACTGGCAGAGGTTATCGCTATACACATGCATTGCACTAATAAGAACTACAATGCAGGCTGAAAAGCCATGAAATTAAATTAATGCAGCCTGAGCTGTCAGCCTGAACTCTGGGAGTAAGCTGTTGTAATTTACACCACACAATGTTACATGTGCCAGAAAAAGGATTGCATTCATCTGAAAAATTATATGTAACTCAAATTTCAAGCACTTGCCTCTAACACCTTGGCTTTTCCAGACTTTCAAAGGCCCTTAAAATCAATTTTCATTTTCAAGTATTTTTCAAGGCTTTCAAGCACCAGTTTGAACAGTGACTTCCATCAAGAACATTCGCTCTTTCAACCTTGTAACCATAAAGTAACCATCAGTTTCCATATTATTACTTTTAATAGGCTTTATGTATCTTCATGAAATATGGTAAGCTTTCAATAAATATTATAAGTCTTTGGTAAAAAAAAGTCAGGTTTTCATTAATATATGGAGTCAGACTTTTGACTGTTCTGAGTGCAAAGTGATTTTCATGTTAAAGTTAACAATACTTTTCCATCATCCAAAATTTTCAAATCCTCTTAAATAAACATCAAATATTTTCTTTTCAGTAGAACTTTATATTTCATCTGTTATTTTCTCTACCTTAAGTCTATATACAGATTGGGTCAATTTGGCCAACCTTGCAACCACCATAAAAACAAAAAATAAAAATGAAATAAAACTAAATTCCCTTTTTTATTTCTAGAATGATGGCAAGTCATAAGAGAAAACAATTTGTTTAACCTACATAACTTAAAGTTTGTAACAGTCTGCACCTGTTTATACTTAATTTTATTGTTGTAGCTATTTGAACTGTGTCTAATTAATCATTCTAACACAAGTTGTAAATCAATCAGCGAACATGTAGCTCACATTACCATACTGAATATGTAATGCACAAGCTGCTTGCAAACATACCTCATGAAGAATTTTTATCATTATCATTTTTCAGTATCTTAACTAATCTAACCTTATGTAGCTTAATAAGTTTCAAATTTTTACCATGTACTTGCATTTATAGTAATAAATGTTAACATTTTCTTACACTTAAAATGTATTTCCAATAGGCACTTACCTACTCTCACACAAAGCTCACTCAACCTCAGTTTGCCCTCTAAATATTGCTCAAAATTGTATTGCTAACAGTACACCAGTCATTTATACCTCTTTTGTTTTCACTTCATTTCAGAACATGTGCTAATCATGTGACTATCCTCCACCAATCATATTGCACCATCTATACTGGTGCAGGTAGCTCCCTCTACTATTCTAGCACAAACCTCACTTACAGAGAATTGGCAAGTATAAACTATAAACACTAGCACATCAGTGGGTAGGAAGTGGGTAAAAGAAGGTTAAGTACCTATCAAAAATACCTTTTCAGTACAAGAAAATGTTAACTTCCGAAACAGTACTACCTCCGCTCGACCAAAGCTAGAATTCCATGGTGCAAAGGTGGAGGAGCTGTTAAAGGTGTGACAGTATTCAATCAAGCAGAGGACAACTACCTTGAAATAACAGGTGTGCCATAATAAGGCACATCTGTGGGGTATAGCACTACAGGTATGCTCTTTGCCCAATGACAAACAGTTATTCATATTGGGCAGATGGTAACAGGCAGGTACAATATTCTCAAGAAACAGATGTACAGCACCATTTGTTGGAGAAGTGTTGTATGACTATGACATGAAATAGCACAGCATGGATGAAAAAAGGATGTCTAGCAGAAAATCAACAATTAGCCCAAATAAGTATATGCTAAGGTTAGAGTCTTGGGGCACACCAGAGCATGTCAATTGCTGTCTAACCAGGAAAAACATCCAGTGGAAATGCCTTGTCTAGGTTATTGTGAGCAACAAAAATGATCCTTCCCATGAAAATAAAATCCAGTGCATAATTCCTCCATATATGTAGCAACCATTAACACGGGACATAGTGATAGTTAGTCATAGTAAAGTGCCTGACAATTTGATATAAGTATATGTGGCTAAGGCTAAAAGACCATAAATTGAGTTTGAATGGGTGAAGTGAGGTCCACCCAGGCAAAAAACATCCAGGGGAAGTACCTTGGGATACACTGATTATGTTAAGTGTGTTCCATCTAGGCTGGTTGCAACTGTGACAGGAACTGAACAGAACTCCCAAATGAATAAGAAACTGTGTAGGGGGTAATAAAGGACTACCATAACTTGATGAGAAATGCCACCCAAACAGTTTTGTGAAGAAGAGCAGGTATGAGTGACTGACTGGGCATGGGAAGAGACAAACAGTAGCCAGTGATTCATGTAATGGTGAATCTGAACACCCAGCAAGTGAAGATGATGTGCAAAAGAGTGTACCACTTGAGAAAACACATACGTAGGAGAAGAAGGGCTAAACGGCAGTGCTCGGAACTGGAAGGCAAAACCATCATGGACTAACCAATGAAAACAACGTGACACTGGGGCAATTGAACAAAAAAATTTAGTCATCCAAAGTCCAACGGAAAATAAAAACACTGAAGTGAGGTAGGATTTCATGGTGAAGTGAGAGATCTCCAGATAGGTATACAGCTGGGACAAATCTAGGAGGGGTTTCCACTCTCCCATGGTTTTGTATGGGAACAACAAACAGACAGGAATAAAATCCAAGTTGATCAGGCACCATCCATTCAATAGCTCCTTTGTGTAGAAGGTCTCAAACCGAATTGGCAAGACAACCCAAGGAGGAGGGAAGGAGATTTGGAACCAAAGGTAGAAACCTTCAGATAGAACCTGTAGAACTCACAGGACTGTCGTGAAGTGTAGCCAAAAAGACATAAATTAAACATACACAAAGAAAGTGCTCATTACAACAAACTAATAAAACCTAGAAATTTGCAGTCTACAAGGTACATAAATATAATAAACCTCCAAAACTATGAAATTTAACCTAAAACTTAAAACTATAAGCAACACCTAAAATGCAAAACCACTAAAGGAACTTAGAAGATAAAAGACCCACAAATATCAAACTTATAAATCCACCCAAAGAACTGATAAGGCTATGGATACGAAAGTAAAACCTACCCTGAAGAACATGAGAATAAAAAGGCACCCAGTGAACAATAACAAATGTTGACTCAAATCTAATCACCAATTAGATGTGCCTAGTAGTAAATAAAAAGGAACTTACAAACGAATTAACATAAACAGTGGTAACTTTAGCCAAATCTGTGGGTGTGTTGATTCATTATACTTCTTTTCACTGTTTATGTTAATTCGTTTGTAAGTTCCTTTTGGGAATTTGTAACTTTAGCCAAATCTGTGGGTGTGTTGATTCATTATGTATACTTTTTTTAAATTCCCAAGTAGTACTAACATGCAAAACCATACACACACTGTAAATGAAACAAAACAAAGTAATAAACAAACTCTAAATGCAAAATTACACAAAAGTAACTGAGCTGGTGAAAGAATAATAAAAATCTAATGTACCAAATAATGAGCATAGAAGACATGAAAGAACTAAAGTGCAGAAATTAGGTCCATCCACACAAGCTCACATAAACTCGCTAAACATGGGTATACCAATTGGGAGTGAGAAATACATGCTGAAAACTTTACAATAGATATCCTAGGAAAAGGAGCAATACCTAACCCAGCACATTATATGGAGGAACTGTAATAGGTGGAAAGTGCCATAGAAAGAAATTTCCACTCAGTAATTATATCCATCCTCACAAAATATCGTAACATGAAAGGAAGAAATCGTCAGCCAAACATAAGACATGAACTCCCCACAAACTAAAGCTTGTGCTTCATCAACCCTGAGACCTGGGGACTTGTGTCAGAACTATTGTGGGAAATTTGTCATCCGCCATATTAAATCTTGAATTCATATGAACAAATTAGAATTCAGAAAATTGAAATATTTCAAAAACCAACAAGTAGAAACAATGGAAATCAAGCACAAGAAGTCCAAACTTGAAGTTGAAATTGATATAAATTAGTGAACAGGCACAATCAAATTTTTGTAGTCACATGGAGAGTGATTTAAAACACATGTCTATACACTAAAATGCCAATCGAGAAAGTGAGGTTTGTACTAGAATTGTAGAGGGAGCTACCTGCACTAGTATAGACAGTGCAGTATGATTGATGGAGAATAGTCACATGATCAGCACATGTTCTGGAATGGTGCAAAAAATGAAGGAGTATAAAAAGACAGGTGCATTGTTAGTGATCAAATTTTTAGTA